GAATTCTGCAATGTCTTACAGGAGAAATGAAAAACTGTCTGAAGTAAATTTAACTCCAAAGGGTTACTAACAGCTCAGGTTACACCAGCAAATTGCAATAGTTTGCAATGTGATGTTGTGTAGGCATATCACATTCCACTCAAACAAAAGTCCAGCTACCTTCAGAAAGAGATATCCAAGATACTTACATGAATGGAAGGTCTTAGAATAGGAGTCGGCAAGGTTTTTTTACCTGGGGCCGGTCGCTGGTCCCCAGGTCTTCCGCTGGGCCCGGGGGGGGGGGGAATGGCGGCCGCGGCTTGTTCACGCATGCGCAGGAGTACTGCGCATGTGCAAACAGGTCGCGCATGCAATTTTGGCAAACAAAATGGTGGCCGCGACGCGCACGGCAGCAGCACAGCAGCAGGGGGTCAGCGGGGGCCGGTTGGCAGGGGTCAGTGGGCCGGGTGCGTAGGTTGCCGACCCCTGTCTTAGAATAAGAGATGATGTTCGCTCATTGACAGATATTCAATATGTTAAATCCATTTCAAAAACTCAGGCTGGTATTGCCAAGAAGGATGTGGTGGACCACTGCAATGTCTTCTACATGGGGCTGATTTTGTTTCAGAATGGTAGATCCACTGGGGAACACAATTTGGCTGGGGAGCATTACTGAGTAGGATGCTTCGATGGTCATGATCGCACAGTTGTAAAACACATTGCCAACTCATGTGTGTCATTACAAATACATTGGAACAGCAATGGGGGCCAGAGCAGGCTGACTCAGACCTCCCAGAGGGCCTTCTCTGCTACCACTCCCAGACTTTGGAATGACCTTCCGGACGAGATCCGTCTTATTACTATTCTTACTGCTTTTAAAAAAGCAGTGAAGACTGATCTCTTCCGGCAGGCCTTCTTGTAATAACTTCTGCTCTAGGGAGATGAGTTTTTATTTTGTCCCTATTGCTGCTCATTCTCTTTTTTATTGTTTTATTGTTTTTATTGCATTGTCGTATTTTAATCTTTCTTAAATTTAATTCTGTTTTAAGGGGATGGGAGGGTTGGATTGCGGGACCCGCCCCGATTGCCACGCAGAGGGGCAGGCTATAAATAAATTATTATTATTATTATTATTATTATTATTATTATTATTATTATTATTATTATTAATTTATTATATTCTCCCTATGAGTTGCATTTCTCCCATACAAAACCCAAATGCATGTCTTCCTCTACAGTCCTTCTCAAAACAGTGATTCGAAGTGATGTCGTGCCACTTCTGGTAGCCATTTTGAGAAGGACTGCGATAAAATCACAAGTATTGAAGGGTGTGCAGAGGTTGTGTGAGTGGGGTGAGGTGTTTTCTCACATTTTTATGCATTTGAGTGGGGGCTTTCTGCATGGCATTTTTAAATAAATACTGTTTTAAGTTTTTTTATCGTTTAAATTGCATTGTTTTTAATGAGTTATGTGTTTTTAAAACTATACTACACTCGTCCCTCCTCATTTGTGGATTTGACTTTTGCAGATTTGATTATTCATAGATTTTCTTAATATGTTCTCTCTAGGAATATCTAGGTCCTCCAGCACAACTCTATGGTCAAATTTAACCAAAAGTCTCACTGAAGAACCTAGAGATTCCTAGAGAGAACAATCCACTAGGCATTTGTAGCTCCTCCAGCGCAATTCTATGGTTAATGTCTGGCAGATGTTGACCACAGAGTTGTACTGGAGGACCTAGAGATTCCTAGAGAGGTGTCCTCTCTGGTAAAAACATTGTGTTTGTGTTATTTGTGGTTTTTCCACATTCTTGGGGGTCTTGTGCCCCTAACCCCAGCGAATGTGGAGGGATGAGTGTAGTTTAATTCTGTTTTTAATGACCATTTTGTATATTTTTAATTGTATTGTGTGCAGGTTTTTTTAATTTTAAGGCACTTTGTGTTCCAATTGTGGGGAAAATAATAATAATAATAATAATAATAATAATAATAATGGTTT